ATTAAGAAATTTGCAGAGAACTTGCTTTTTTGGAATGATTACCTTAGAGCTATGGTTGATGTACCATACAACTGTTGAATCAAAAGGAAAAATATTAGAATAGAACTCTGTGCAACATGTAAAATCACTGGAAGAATCTGCAATGTCGTTGGTCCTGACCTGACATCTCGACTTCAGTCATTTTTCGCAACACCATAAAGCATCTTCCCTGTGCCTTTTCAATAAATACTTTCATGATAATTGTTATGGTGAACTCCCGTCTATAATATCTCGACTCGATGAATTAAAGCCCTGTACCAGATTGGCGGCAATGTTTATAGTTGAAATAGTAAGATGTAACCATAAGCTCTATACTAACAGTTCCTTTTCTCGCACTTCTCGCTTGTGGAACTCTTTCCAACTCGAATTACATACCCACATACATACCATTCTAAGACACGCCCAAAATTTATTATGTACCAAATAACAGTCAATATTACAAACATGCTAAAAGGATTCCACAGTACGCTACACACGGTTTAAATAAGTTTCTTTTGGTTATAAATTAACATCACCATGTGAAATATTTAAGCAATTAGGGAAAACAGAAACCCTATTTTTCTCAAGGCTACCTTCGGGAAACAAATCTTATAAAACCCCACAGATTTCGATAGAGATGCAGCCGAAAACAGATACGACCGAAAACAGATACGACCGAAAAGAAAAGAATACTGAACTGTTATGTAATAATGGTCCTCCTATATAGCAATGAATGCTGGAATATCTCCTCACAGATGAAGAAGAGACTTGAGACAACAGAAATCTGATTCTACAGAAGGATGTTGAGAATGCCATGTACTGAACTCGTGAGTAAAGACAAAGTTTTAGAGAAAATGGAAACTAAATGGACACTTATACTTAGCTTCAGAAAGAGACAAATGAAATGTCTGCGGAACATAATGAGGAAAGAGGGTATGGAAAATATGATACTCACATGGCAGATTGGAGTCAGAGAGGGTCAGAAGAATGCACCGCATGACTTATTGTTATTGTCCAGGTTAGGACCAAGGAAGAACAACACGAACACAAGAGTAGAAATAACGAAGGTATATTACACCAAATAATAATACAAGATGTGGAAGGTGTTAGTATGACTGTCAGTCTGGTTTGAGTGAACTACTGTCGGCTCGACTCGATTCGTCCCTCTCTCTTGAGAGGCGTAGTATACATAGTGTTAGGAAGAGTTCATTCTGTAGTTATAGGTAAGGACCCATGACACTTATCTAATGAGCGCGTGTGTAAATGGTTGGTAGAAGATTCAAAGGAGATAGCAAAAAAACAAAACAAATATTGCGAAGAGCTACAAAGGACAGAAAACTGGGGAGAGCCATGATCGTCCAATTCCTGAAGGAACACAGCACGTCGAAGATATAGGTCGAGTAGGAGACTAAAAGAGTAGGGAGAATGTGCTGCGCCAATATTCCAATATAGTGAAATTTCTTTTATGCGTTGTATCCCTTCATGGTGTGGGCGTTGATCGTTCTCCAAAACCTCCTGTTGCTTGTTTGACTCTTTAGCATTTTATCTTCGATCTGCCATCTTATGAGGTTGTTTATTAGCTGTTCTCAAATTGCTTCACTCTTTTGGTCTTCTTTCTGTCGCGAGCCAACGGGAATTGGTGTCCTTTTGAATTGTCGTCTTTCCAACGCTTGGGAGGTTTACCTCTTTGTCTTGCCGCGATAAAATCATTTTTTTTAAATATTTATTATTCATTTTTTTTAAATACTTATTATTCATTAGAAACAATGAAAAGAATAGTGAACTTTAAAGTAATCATCATCATCTTGCGGCCTCAACCAGGGATTGAACTCACCAATACTTTGATTGGTGTGGTTCATAATCTTGTCAAATAGCTGAATTCTTGATGCTTCGCTAGGGCTATCAAGGGTGTTTTTATCATGACACCAGCACTAAATGATCCTTCACATGGCAGTGAATGCTGGAAAATCTCCTAAGAAGCGATTTGAGATAAAAGAAATTTGATTCTACAGAAGGATGTTGAGAATGTCATGTACTGAACTCGTGAGCAACAACGAAGTTTTAGATAAAATGGAAACTAAATGGACACTTATACTTAGCTTCAGAAAGAGTCAATTGAAATGTATGGGGAACAGATTTTTTCCCGCATTAGCTTGCCATTTCTTTCTGCGATAGACGGGTTATAGAACCCGATCTGTCCTGGTATTTCCCCATATCTGGGGGTGAAGAAGAGGATTCACACCTTTCCTAAAGATATTAGGGCGTAAGTGAATGTCATGGATTTGACTGAAATTCGAACTCGGCTCTCCGCTATACATTACTCCAACGCGCCTCTTCCAATTCTCTGTTAAAGATGCACGAAAAATATTGTTCAAGAAAGTATCTGACTCCATTTGCCATGCTTTATCTTTACAAGACTCAGACCCAAAATAGAGTATTGATGACATATCTGGACTGGACCAGATGACATATCTGGACTGGAGATGTTCAGTAGGGCGGGTTCATTTATCACTTCTTTTAGAAAATCAACATTACACTTGCTGTGAAATTTCGAAGTTGATATGATAAGTACTGCCACCAAAAATTAGATTCATAGCTTTCGGCCATTTTTAGCATTTGGTTTTAAATATCGACTAAAAAATGTACAGAAATAACTAAAATTTTCACAGGTTTTTGTTTATAAACTGACGTCAAAATTTGACTATTTCAAGAACAAATCCAAATAAAGTTGATATATTTTCTATTAAAAACATTGAATGGGAAATATATTAAAAACAGAATTCTGATTATGCACCACCACAAGCAAAAAGTTCATTATTTTTATTGTATTCGATAAGTAAAAACTGTGTACAAAATTGAAAAGATTATAAAAAAAATGTCTACGCAATGAATAAAAATTGTTAGATTATTTGTTAGATCATAATTAATAAAAACAAAAAATAGATAGACATGTCTATAACAACATAATATTGCTGGGCACAAATTATAAGAGAAAATGTTTTAAATTAGCATTGAAAATCACACTAAAGTCACAGCAATGTATAACATATTACATCATAATAAAGCTAAATTGTTAAGCATAATTTCTCTTTGAAGTAAATGAAAATCTTATTTGATAGCACAATTATTTAGTAATAATGTGATTGTGCCATGGATCTTGTCCATATACACTTTGTAAAGTTTCAGTAAATTATAAATTCTATAAGGCTGTGTTATAAGTTTTTCACTGATCACCGGAATTAATTCCAACGCTACAACCTAAACATAATCTTTTAATCTGGTTTCCTCAAAAAATGTCAACGATTCGGAAATAACATTTTCTTGTTATTTATCATTTGAAACCCCAACTTTTAAATTGAGTTAAATACCACGGTTCCAAAAGCGACTTGCCCTAGATTTCAGTCCTCACTTTTCTGTTCAAGATTGCTCGTGCGGCCTTGTGGAGGAGGACTTATTCTCCAGTCTGCAATCTCTTTCCCCAGGGACACAATGCCCTACTCTATCGCTATTCCATGGCAAATGTTCAGATCAGCCCCATCCTTTAGTCTCACAAGTTATGAATTTCACAGCTACGACTCGCCATAAACTTCCGCTTGAAATCCATTTCTTCTGTACCCGAAGGAAATTTTAATTGAGGTAGTTTTTTTTTCTTTAGAACTGTCACTTTATGAAACAGTCTCCCCCGTGTGTGCCTCCCTGAACACTTCAATATTGATCTCTTCATATCAAGGGTCAATCGTCATCTTTTCCATTTTTCTCATGAATTTTACATCCAGCCATTGTCTATTTTTTTCGTATTCCACACCTAATTCAGCTCATCTTGGGTATGACGATAAACTACATTCGCGTCCTGGCTAAGATGATAAACTACATCCGCGTCCTGGGTAAGACGATAAACTACATCTGCGTCCTGGGTAAGACGATAAACTACATTCGCGTCCTGGCTAAGACGATAAACTACATTCACGTCTTGGGTATGACAATAAACTACATCCGAAGCCTTGTTGTTGGACGTAGTTTACCGTCTTACCCAGGACGCGGACGTAGTTTGTCGTCTTACCCAGGACGCAGATGTAGTTTATCGTCATATCCAAGACGCGGACGTAGTTTATCGTCTTAGCCAGGACGCGGACGTAGTTTATCGTCTTACCCAGGACGCAGATGTAGTTTATAGTCATACCCAGGACTGGGGTTTCGGGTTGGATTGTCAGAAAAAGACATGTAGATTTTATACCTGTTTGCAGCCCAGTACATTTTAACATCTTAATTCCTGTAGCAGTCTCTGCCGTAAAAATATAATATAAAAAGATACGAGCAGAACTTTCTATTTTATGTTTAAACCACTTTTAATCACAAATGAGCACAATAGTAATAGCCGTTTCCTTATGTGGAAACATTCGGCACTCATTGACCAAGCAGCCAGTGCTTAAAGGAGTTACACTTTTCTTCACTCCCTGTCTATCGGCCTAGAATCAAAGGGTAGTATCTGTTCTCCTCATCTCTAATGTTAATGGAAATAATAGTCGCTCCTTTATAAGGAAATGCTCGGCATTCATTAACCGAGCAGCCAATACTACTCAAGTTACGCTTTTCTTCACTCCCTTGCCAATGGTCTGGCATCAGATTTTACTATCTTTTCGCCTCATGAAAACATTCGGCATTCATTGACCGAGCTATTCGATTTAGGCTTTTCGTAGGCCATCAGACTTGGCCCAAAGCGTAGAAACTGTTCCTTTTAGCAATCTTACTTTTTCTACTTACTGTCTCCTCTTTTCACTTTCCAACAACTACATTTGCTTAGACTGTACCTTGAGTGGCTCTTACGCCTTGTGAACAATAATATGGACCAAAAAGCAAACGACGAGATGGGAAGTAGAAGGCTGAATATCAACGTCTTCTTCATTATTCAACTTGGCCTTTCCTACTAAAAATGCTCATTTTCTCATCACAAAAGCAAAATGTCGGCCAGGACATAGGCGGTCATGGCCCTCCACGGAGTCTTTTTCTTTATTATATGTGAATTGCCAAATATTCTTGAGAATTGTCTTACATATCTTTCTTTTTTTCTTTCTCCCTGTCACTCTTATTTTCCTTTTTTCTTTCTTTTTTCTTACTTTTTTCCTTCTTTCTTTCTTTCTTTCTTTCTTTCAATCTTCATACATGTATGGCGTACTTTTGTCTTTTTTCATATCTCTCTCATGTAACTTTCTTTTTTTTCCATAACTGTCTTATATAGCTTCCCTTTTTCTTTCTCCCTGTCTCTTTTATATAAATTTCTTTTTCTTTCCACATATCGCTCTTATATATCTTTCTTTTTTCTTCCTCTCTGTCACTCTTATATTTTTCTTTCTTTCTTTCTTTCTTCATTTTTTTCTTTCTTTCTTTCTTCCCCACAGTCTTCATACATGTATGGCGTACCTTTGTCTTTTTTCATATGTCTCTCATGTAACTTGTTTTTTTTTATTCCATAACAGTTATATATATCTTTCTTTTTACTTTCTCTCTATCACCCTTATGTATCTTTCTTTCTTTATTTCTCCATATGTTGTTTCTTTCTCCATATATCGTTTTTTCCCATATCTTCCTCACATATCTTTCTGTTATCGTTCTCCACATCTCTCTTATAACTTCCTTTTCTTTCTCCATACCTCTCTTATATATCTTCGTTTTTTATTCTCCATATCTTTCTTATATATCTTTCTTTCTCCATTATATGTCTTTCTTTTTTCTCTCTATATCCCTCTTGCATATATTTCGTTTTTTTCATTCTGCCTGTCTCTCTTATATAACTCCCTTTTTTCTTTCTTTATTTCTTTCTTATATATCTTTCTTTTTTACCACATATTCCTTATATATCTTTTCTTCATATCTTTCTTAAATATCTTTATTCTTTCTATCCTTCATCTCATTTACATAACTTTTTCATTTTCTTTCTTCATCTCTGCTTTATATATCTTTTTACTTTCTTTCTCCCTGTCTCTCTTATATACAGGGTGTCCATAGTGTTCGTGCGCACTTAAAAAAATTATAACTTTATTTGTATTTGCGATAGAAATAATTTGTAAAAAGGATTAAAAAGAAGTAAATCTATATTTTTTAAGTTTTTATTTAAATTTTATTTAAGTTTCCACATGTCCTCCATCATTAGCAATACAAAGGGTAATAAGATTTTGCAGTTGACGTAAAACATTTGCCAACTGATTTACAGTAATGCCTGAAATCACATTAGTTATTTTAGCTATACTTCAAACTAGATACATTAAACTTTATGACATTTTTTACAGATTATTTCTACTGCCGAGGAACTTTAACGACACGCTGTATCTTTCATTTCCCGTTCTTCATATCTCTCATATATAAGTGATACTGAGAAAGAAAAAATATATTTCTCGGTATCATTCTTATTTATCGTTCTTTTTTTTATTTTTTTTCATATATATATTTTTCTTTCCTCATATCTCTCTTATATATTTTTCTTTTTCTTTCTCCATGTCTATCACATATATTTTTTCCATCCTCCATGTCTCGCTTATATAGCTTCCCTTTTACTTTCTCTCTGTCTCTCTTATATAGCATTCCTTTTTCTTTCTTCCTGTCTCTCTTATATAGCTTTCATTTTTCTTTCTTCCTGTCTCTCCTATCTGGCTTTCCTTTTTCTTTTTCTGTCTCTCTTATATAGCATTCCTTTTTCTTTCTCCCTGTCTCTCTTATATAGCATTCCTTTTTCTTTCTCCCTGTCTCTCTTATATAGCTTTCCTTTTTCTTTCTCCCTGTCTCTCTTATATAGCATTCCTTTTTCTTTCTTCCTGTCTCTCTTATATAGCTTTTCTTTTTCTTTCTTCCTGTCTCTCTTATCTGGCTTTCCTTTTTTTTCTCTGTCTCTTTATATAGCATTCCTTTTCTTTCTTCCTGTCTCTTTTATAGAATTCCTTTTTTCTTTCTCCCGTGTCTCTCTTATATAGCTTTCCTTTTCTTTCTCCTGTCTCTCTATATATCATTCCTTTTTCTTTCTTCCTGTCTCTCTTATATAGCATTCCTTTTTTTTTATTCCCTGTCTCTCATATATAGCTTTCCTTTTTCTTTCTCCCTGTCTGTCTTATATAGCTTTCCTTTTTCTTTCTCCCTGTCTCTGTTATATAGCTTTCCCTTTTCTTTCTCCCTGTCTCTCTTATGTAGCTTTCCTTTTCTTTCTCTCTGTCTCTCTTATATAGCTTTCCTTTTTCTTTCAGTCGGGCTCTCTTATATAGCGTTTTTTTTTCTCCCTGTCTTTTCGTATATTTTTTTTTTTTTTCCTGCCTCTCTTATATATCATTCCTTTTCTTTCTTCCTGTCTCTCTTATATAGCATTCCTTTTTTTATTCCCCTGTCTCTCATATATAGCTTTCCTTTTTTTCTCCCCTGTCTGTCTTATATAGCTTTCCTTTTCTTTCTCCCTGTCTCTGTTATATAGCTTTCCCTTTTCTTTCTCCCTGTCTCTCTTATGTAGCTTTCCTTTTTCTTTCTCTGTCTCTCTTATATAGCTTTCCTTTTCTTTCAGTCAGGCTCTCTTATATAGCCTTTTTTTTCTCCCTGTCTTTTCGTATATAGCTTTCTTTTTTTCTTTTCCTTCCTCTCTTATATATCATTCCTTTTTCTTTCTTCCTGTCTCTCTTATATAGCATTCCTTTTTTTTATTCCCTGTCTCTCATATATAGCTTTCCTTTTTCTTTCTCCCTGTCTGTCTTATATAGCTTTCCTTTTTCTTTCTCCCTGTCTCTGTTATATAGCTTTCCCTTTTCTTTCTCCCTGTCTCTCTTATGTAGCTTTCCTTTTTCTTTCTCTCTGTCTCTCTTATATAGCTTTCCTTTTTCTTTCAGTCGGGCTCTCTTATATAGCGTTCCTTTTTCTTTCTCCCTGTCTTTTCGTATATAGCTTTCTTTTTTTCTTTTTCCTGCCTCTCTTATATGGCATTCCTTTTTCTTTATTCCTGTCTCTCTTATCTGACTTTCTTTTTTCATTCTCTCTGTCTCTCTTATATAGCTTTCTATATTCCTATATATATTTTCTCTCTCTCTCTCTCTCTTCATCTCTCTCTCCTTCTCGTCATCATTCTCTCTCCCTCTTCTCTTTCACACTATTTCTTTCTCATTCTGACTCACTCCTTCTCTGTCTCCCTCTCTCACTCATTCTCACACTTTCTCTCTCATTTCTTTTCTGCTTCTCACTCTCTCTCTCTCGCTCACTCTCGCTCACTCTCACTTCTTCTCTCTCTCTCTCTCTCTCACTCATTCTCTCAGTTTCTCTCTCACTCCTTCCTTCCATCTCACTCCTTCCCTCCATCTCACCTTCTCTCTCTCTCTCTCTCTCTCTCTATTTCTCTCTCTCCGACTCCTTCTCTCTGACTCACTTTCTCTCTCACTCAGTACTTATCCATCTGCGCTTATAAATGACCGGGAGGGAAGCGAGAAAAATGAATGAGTGATCACTGTTGGCGTACGAGTTCTTTATGGGTCGGTCATTACATGAAACGGAAATTAAGTCGAGGAGAGGGACTTCGTATAAATGAAGTTCGATTCCTTGGGCTGAACGAATGACTGGCTGCACGCATGCGTCGGCGTGTACGCATGCGCAGAATGTAGTTGACATAAAACGTAAGTAAAAAAAAAAAACAAACAAATATTTTTAATACCTGTTCGGTCATCGGTAATTTGGATGAGCCAAGAGAGGTGAAAGCGAGAGAGAGAGAGAGTGGAAAAGAAAGAAAGAAAGAAAGAAAGAAAGAAAGAAAGAAAGAAAGAAAGAAAGAAAGAAGAACTGGATTTATTAAAGTGGAAAGAAAAATCGAAGGAAAAAAAATGAAAGAATTGAATTATACTAAGAAAGAAAGAAAGAAAGAAAGAAAAACTGGATTTATTAAAGTAGAAAGAAAAATCGAATGGAAAAAGAAAAATGAAAGAATTGAATTATATTAAGAAAGAAAGAAAGAAAAACTGGATTTATTAAAGTAGAAAGAAAAATCGAAGGAAAAGACAAAAATGAAAGAATTGAATTATATTAAGAAAGAAAGAAAGAAAGAAAGAAAGAAAGAAAGAAAAGAAAGAAGCGTGTAAGGGCAGAGAAAAAATAGTGTGTCGAAAGACAGGATAAATCTTTTTCTGCGGGTGAACATCGATGTGGAATCAGGGATAAGGACAAAGATAAACTTACAAAAGGAACTATATTTTTAAAAAATATGAAAAAAGAAATTAACCGCCAAATGAAAGAATTGAATTATATTAAGAAAGAAAGAAAGAAAGAAAGAAAGTAAGAAAGAAAGAAAGAAAGAAAGACGAACTGGATTTATTAAAGTAGAAAAAATATCGAAGGAAAAAGAAAAATGAAAGAATTGAATTATTTTAAGAAAGAAAGAAGAACTGGATTTCTTAAAGTAGAAAGAAACATCGAAGGAAAAAAAATGAAAGAATTGAATTATATTAAGAAAGAAAGAAAGAAAGAAAGAAAGAAAGAAAGAAAGAAAGAAAGAAGAACTGGATTTATTAAAGTGGAAAGAAAAATCGAAGGAAAAAAAATGAAAGAATTGAATTATACTAAGAAAGAAAGAAAGAAAGAAGAACTGGATTTCTTAAAGTAGAAAGAAAAATCGAAAGAAAAAGAAAAATGAAAGAATTGAATTATATTAAGAAAGAAAGAAAGAAAGAAAGAAAGAAGCGTGTAAGGGCAGAGAAAAAATAGTGTGTCGAAAGACAGGATAAATCTTTTTCTGCGGGTGAACAGCGATGTGGAATCAGGGATAAGGACAAAGATAAACTTACAAAAGGAACTATATTTTTAAAAAATATGAAAAAAGAAATTAACCGCCAAATATCGTATCTTGTCGATTATCTACCTTGATGCGAATGAATCTCTAAGCAGAATAAAGATGGCGTCCGAGAAATGAATAGAGAAAAGACAGTAATGGGGAGAGGTAGTAAAGCGAAGAGAGGAGGAAAACGGTAACAAAAATGTAGGAACGAATAATTTAGGACTGAAAATGATGACTTGCTGTTTTATTCCTTTCGTGTACACATGTACACGTGAGTGCTTCCTGGGTATTTTTTATCCTTGTTGGATGCTAAAACTAAATATGAATAGCCTCAGATAAATAGATATATGTAGATAAACAGATGTGTATAGACTTAGATAGATCTGAAAGGAATGAGATAGATAGATAGATAGATAGATAGATAGATAGATAGATAGATAGATAGATATCGGAACAGAATGGGATAGATAGATAGATAGATAGATAGATAGATAGATAGATCGAAACAGAATGGGATAGATAGATAGATAGATAGGTCTGAACAGAATGGGATAGATAGATAGATAGATAGATAGATAGATAGATAGATCTGAACAGAATGAGATAGATAGATAGATAGATAGATAGATAGATAGATAGATAGATAGATAGATAGACCTAATGATATTTCTTCAGCCTATTAATTATCTGTACATCTTACGTGAGTATATATATATATATATATATATATATATATATATGCGTACGTGTGTGTGTGTGTGTGCGCGCGCGCGCGAATGACATCGATGTCATTCCTTGCATCTGCTTTCTTTTCTATCAGTCTAATTCCATTAAACTGATATGCGCTGTGAATTGTTATTGTTTGGGGATTTGGGATTATCAATTTCCACTGGAATCGAAACTAGTGTTCCTGCGGCTAATCGAAGAGATTTCTTTTTGTCTAGTCTTGCACGGACGATGGCATTGCTTCCATTCTCATTTTCATCCCTCAATACCAGTTCTGAATGGAATTTTTAAGCAATCTTCCATCTTGCGCCGGACTATAAGTAGGCTATTTATATTTCCTTTATTCTTCTGGTCCGAAATATGTTTGTTCGTGGCTACTGTTCGCGTCAATATTCGCTGAAATGTGTAGTGATCATAAAAACAGCCATAAGCACGCGATCTATCTGACTAAGAGTAATAGAATGGTGCGAAAGACGTGTGAAGAGTTTGAAAAGGAAAGGACCGTTCACGAAATTGACGTGGACGTGAATTTCTCACTTATGAAAAATATGACGATTTCTGTTTCGGGCCAACGAATTATCGGATTTAAATTTCCGTCTTCTCACTTTCTAGAAAGTCACCGAGACTTGCTTTTATTTAAATCTTTATTTATATTTTATTTTATCTATTATCAAGTGCACCCAGCGCTGCGTAGGTCAAGTACCTTTCCATTGACACTGGCGTACGCTGTAAAATGTACGTATCAGTGATACATCTATCTATCTATCTATCTATCTATCTATCTATCTATCTCAGTCTCTTCCCCATCTATCAATCTGTCTCATTCCCTTCCTCTCTCTCTCTCTCTCTCTCTCTCTCTATATATATATATATATATATATATATATATATATATATATATATATATATATATATATCCCTTTTGTTCAGATATTTCAATCTATGTATCTATGTATCTATTCCATTTTTGTGTCCTCTTTATCTATCTCATTCTGTTTCTCTCTCTCTCTCTCTCTCTCTCTATATATATATATATATATATATATATATATATATATATATATATATATATATCCCATTCTGTTCAGATATTTCAATCTATCTCATTCTGTTCAGATCTATCTATTTATGTATTTATCTTATTCTATTCAGATATCTCTCTCTCTCTCTCTCTCTATATATATATATATATATATATATATATATATATATATATATATATATATATATATATATATATATATATATATATATATATATATATATATCCCATATATATATATCCCATTGTTCAGATGTTTCAGTGTATCTATCTATCCTAATTCAAACATTTCGATAGAATTTTTTTTTCAAATTTACATAAGATGAGTTTGGCCGTTTATGTCCTTTCTGACCTCGTTCCATTAGCCTATTTAGAGAAAAAATGGTTTATAACTTTCAAACCCCCATATTTCATTACCCCTAATTGGCCTTGAATTCTTGTCACTCATGATAAATGTTTAGATAGTTACATGAAGAATATGACAAAATGCCAGCAATAAAATGGAGTGGTCAGAATCAAGTAAGTGAAAAATGCTAAAACAGACGATGTAAAACAGGAAACGGAAATCAAAAGGTGCAATGGAAGAGCGGAAGATGCCTAAGCAAATTAATAAGAAACAACAGAATTTCAGTAGAATTGAAGAAGCTGAACTGATGTTTGATATTAATCATCTTCTGTAGCAGTGAATATTGGATAATTTATTCATATATGAAGAGAATTCTAAAGATAACATATTTTTGGTGGTTGGTTGTTCGTTTTTATGGATTATCAACCCTTTTCATGTTATTTAAATGCAAAAAATATTTTTCTTCGTGTCCAACGTATTCGATTAAATGGTAACTATCATAGCGAGAATAACCGTCTCCATACAGAAAACATTAAACATTCATTGATCGAACAGTTAAGATTTCATTTGGCTAAAATTTATAAAACCTTTCTCTTGAAACGGTTTTCTAGGAAAATCCGTTTTTCAAGTCCATTGCTATCGGTCGTTCGAATATTAACTTGCTAAGCTTTTGTTTACGGTAGTGTGGAAAGTCATATCATTACTTTCCCTTTGACTTACATGGGCGATGTATTTTAGTCCTTGATGCTGTTGGAATTCCTGAACTGATATGATTTTCTCTTATTTGGTAAAGTTCTTTGTTTGTGACTATAATGTCTCACGAAAGATTGTCTTTTTTAAAACATCTATTAGGTAAAAGTGTTCAATGAACTGCGCCAAAAAGATCTGTTCAGTAACCTTTATATATTTGGGATGGATATTAGAATAATCAAGAACCTATACTAGAAGTAAATCACCTGCATATTTATAGAAAATATAAGATAAGGACGTGTCATTTCACCTGACCTATTGAACCTATACAGAGAAGTGATTTGGGCACCTCGGCGTGTTGTAATGGTTAGCAAGCTTGTCTCGCTAAAACAATTACGACTGAAAAGTGAGTTCGATCCTCACTGGGTGCCCCATACTTTCAGCCTTGTGCCACATCTAAGCTACGCTTACAAAATAACTACAGGGAGGTGATTTTGAGAGAATTAGACGTCCTCCTACCAGGATTGGTTATTGGCGGCCAAAATCTTAACATAAGATGTGCAGATGACACAGTGTTGCTAGCAGACACGGAAAGGAAACTACAAAAGCTTCTACAGAAGGTAGCGAAGAAAGTGTGACACTATTTAGCTATGGTAATTGGCTAACTAATTAAGCATGGAAATTAAAAACGAGAAATACTTAAGGCGAGAAAGAGCTATAACGAAAGACATACCGAGCGACGTTATTTTTTTTAACAAAAGAAAAATGGGTAAAGATTTTTATTTTCATTTACGAAGAATGATATTTTTTTCGCAGAAGACAGAAAATTCGTAAGAGAAG